CTGTATACATTGTAACTTTTTTAATACTGGACCAATTCTTTTGAGTAGCAACTATATAAATCACAACATTTATCTATTTGGTATTAAGTGGGATCGATTTGAACTTAAAGTTTTAATGTTTACTGGCTCTAATTTTTATTTTTATTAAATAAATAAAAGATCTGGGTATGGTATATTATTCTTGAAAACTAATTTGTCCAAAACATTATTGCATTTTTTTATATATTCTACGGCTGTATTTTTTTTTTTGGTTACATCGAGATGCAAATGTCAAACTACGGTAGCATACCACATGTGTTTTGCGTATATTTGATTAAGCTAAGGTTAGACGACAAAAGGTGTTAACACCAACGGTAAAAAAAAATATAGTAGATAGAAAACCTATGTAAAAAAATGTTTTACATTAAAATACTTCAAATATTATAATATTTGCAAAACATCTATGATGTTCAACCTATTTGATCTTACTTCCATTTAATGTATTAACCACGATTTCTCGAAAAATAAAATGCATATTGACCGTTATAACAATTTATTAAAACTCATTTTCTTCATAGCAATAGTATAGGTGATTTATTAAATAAGGTATTGGTTTTACTCTGGTGTGGGCTTTTTTTTTATCAAAAAGGAGTCGGATCGAATTGAAATTTATAAAGAATATTTATTTGGTATGCCCGAACTTATTTCCCATCCCCCTAGAAGGGGTTCAAGTTTTTCTGTTTTTTTAGTTTTTTAGCCTTATTTTTAGGATCTTTAAGTTGAAAATTTATCAATAGTTAGAACTCATATGTATTCAAAACATATTAAACGGAAAACAAATTCGGCACTACAGTTTTTCTTTAATTTCCGGAAAACTGTTATTTCGCAGATTGCGTACATTTTAACAAAAATCAGCCATTTTTCAGCCGAGTCTGCAACCACGATAGAACATTTTCATGTCTCGTTGAAGTACCGAATAAATTTAGATTAGTTGTGGAATTATAATTAAAAAAAAAAAATTACATGGAGCTTCCAGTTACAGCATAAGCCAAGGAGATTAAAAAATGATGTACAATTTTGGCTAAAATTGTAGTGTTTATTATCTGGCCAAAAGTAACTTAACATAGAGAATTGAACTATTTTGAATTTATTATTTAGTTCTAATTTGAACGTTGAACGTACAACATATCTCTTATCTCTTATCTTCTATATCTTACTCCTATCCCCTACCCACTATCTTCCATCCCTATCACGCACCCTATCTCCCACCCCTATCACGCACCCTTTCTCCCACCCTATCTTTCACCCTATCCCCCGCCCTTATCACTCATACCTATCGCTTACCCCTATCTCACCACCCCTACTCACTCACCCCTCATCTCTTATCTCATATCAGATAACAGCGTAACGCGTTATAATTTTTTCGGTTATGTGCCAGAGCTAATTCCCACCCTCAACCCCATTCTTACCCCCATCTCATCGTCATCCCCATTTATTTTTTGGTAATTCATTTTTCGTTACAATATTTTCGTGTTATGTGCCAGAGCTAAGACATGAAAATGTCAAAAACCCCTAAAATCTTAAAAAACAATTTGATGTTTATCTATGCGGAATAACACTATTAAGGTTTATGCTCAAGTACTACTTTTGACTTTTAGTTAACACTCATAGTCAAAACCAAGCACAGTATAAACCAGCAAAGTTAGAAAGTTTTAAATTAAGGTTCTGTATTTACAAATGAGCATCAAAGCGTTTATTTGAAAGTGATTTTATTCAATTTTATCACTTTTATTTATAATAATTCCTGTAGACCTGTGACCTCTTCGTCCCCTCGTTGCATTGATTCTATTATGCCTATACTTTACTGTACTAGTTGTCTCGGATAAAATCACTTTCAAATGAACGCTTTGATGCTCATTTGTAATTATAAAACCTTCATTGAAAACTTTCTAACTTTGCTGGTTAATACTGTGCTTGGTTTGGATTGTTTTACTGGCTTGAAAATACTAACTACCGATCTGCGTCGAAGCGATTTTTCGAAAGTAATTTATCACTTTCAGATTTAAAAATTCCTGTAAACCTGTGACTTCCCCGTCTCCTCTACGCTCTGTCGCCGCTATGCCTCGACCCCTCTGTACTGGTTTTTTTTCATCTCTACATGTTTAAGCAGACTGGAAATAACTGCCTTAATTTTGGTTTTAGAGTAAAAGCACCCTTTATAAAATTAAAAGAATGTAAATTTAAAATCATATTATTGTACACAATGAAAAGACTAAGACTTTACAATTTGACATTTTCATATCTTTGCTCTGGCACATAACCGAAAAAATTATAACGAAAAAAGCGTTACCCAAAAAGAAATGGGGATGAAGAAGAGGTTGGGGGTGGGAATGGGGTTGGGATGGGAATTAGCTGTGGCAAATATTCGAAAAAAGCAAAACGAAAAAATTGTTCCAAAAAAAAGCGTTACGCTGTTATCTGATATGAGATAAGAGATATGTTGTACGTTCAACGTTCAAATTAGAACTAAATAATAAATTCAAAGTAGTTTAATTCTCGATGTTAAGTTACTTTTGGCCAGATAATAAACCCTACAATTTTAGCCACAAACTTGACGTTTTAATATACTAGCTTGTTACCGCTTGTTAATATACTATATCATTTTCCATAATTTCACCACTACTCTAAATTTATTCGGTACTTCAACGAGACATGAAAATGCTCTTTCGTAGTTGCTGACTCGGCTATGTACATTTTTTTGTAATTTTGGGTTGAGTTTCCGTTAACTATATAAAATATTCATGATTTTTGCTGAGAGCTATTACTGAGACAAAGGATATTTAAAGGTTGAAAAACATTATAGTCAATTAAAGGGATACAATGGATGAAAATAAACGTGTCATCTACCATGACCACGTATAAGGTAGATATATGAATTAATTTTCATACAGAGAACTCTTCTAGTTAACTTTTGGCTGGTTGACAATTTAAAAAAAAACGGTATCGTATTAAGTTGTAATAACTATGATGTAGATTGTAGATGATGTCTTTAATAATGTTAGAAAGTATTAAATTGAGGTTCTGTATTAATTATTCTTATTTTCTTATTTCCAAATAAGCATTTATTTGTAAATACAGAACCTCAATTTAATACTTTCTACTAACTTTGCTGGTTTATACTGCGCTTGGTTTGGAAAGTACTGACTTGAAAATACTAACTACCGATTTGCATCAAAGCGTTTTTTCAAAAGTGATTTTATAACTTTCAGATTTAAAAATTTTTGTAAACCTGTGACCTCCCCGTCCCCAATATGCCCCGACTCAACTATGCTCCGTCCCCACTATGCCCCGTCACCACTGTACTGGTTTTTTTAAAACTAAATCTGTTATGTATTTGGTTTTATAATTATAACGTGTACCTATTGAAATTAAAAACAAATTGACTATTCATTGATGTAATTTTTTATCTGTTTGATAACAAAAATCATGTCGAAAAAAGTTTTAATAAAATCCCTTACAGATTGTACATTTGTAAAAAACTTGAAACCATTGATGGTAAAAATGGTAATTTAATTGTAATAACTAAAATTAAATATAAACAGTCCAATACAGTCAGGATATAGTGGGGAAGGAACATATTGAGACGGGGAAGGTTTCAGTACTATATGAATTTTCACAAAATAAGTGTTAAAATAAACATTCGGTTCGGTATACCTAATACCAACAATTGTGTCTTCATAGATTTTTCAATAAATAAAATCAATGCCCTCATAATTATTTTAACATGAAAATTCCAAGTCAATAATTTTCTTTCATCACGAACAAAATCATATTTGTCTCTGCCATTGCGAAGCTCCACGCAAAATTTCTTACAAACTTTTTAACTTCCTATAAATATTCCATGGCAATTTTCTCTTTCATCACAAACAAAAATACTTTTGGCTCTGCCACAGCGAAGCTGCACGAAAAATATTTCAATGAATATTAAGAAAATATTGATAAATAATTATTTTAAGGTAATTGTTTATCTTTTAGTACCTCCAAAATCCCTGTTTCTTTTCAAATAAACACTTATAACTTACTATTTGTGCAATATTATTTTAATTTATAAGAAAAAAGAACAAAAACTAAATTTAGTAGGATAAATTCCTACTAAATTGTAGGGGACAAATTTGTACTAAATTTCAATAGGTTTAGACATTATTAAGTACATCATCTACATCATAGTTATTACAACTTATTACGATTGTTGCGGCCTAGTTGACAAAAACGTTATCAGAGGGTCGGCCAAGCACGGCCACTGATAACGCTACTACATGATGTTGTCAACTCGTTCATGGTGCGGTTAACATAGTTTTAAGGTTATCGGCCCGTCGGTCGTATCCCGTTCGCGTGCGGTGCACATGTAAAAACAAGAGTAAAATTTCGAGCTTTTTTACTAATATTGTGGCCGTCAAGACAAATTTCCATATTCATTAGCTTAGTGTTTTAGTGTTGTCAACCAGACAAAATCCAGTCGTCAAGACGCGTTGTTCTAGTTAATAGTTTTAGTGTGCCATCGAGGCAAGGTCATTCTCGAGACATTCGTATTTAACCGAGTTTCTGTGTATTTTTCTTGGAGAAAAATTGCCGTCTTCAAAGATCACATTGTTTTGTTTTTGGTGATCGAACTTGTGTCAAGCAGCTCATCACAACACAACGGATCATAACCAGCTACAACAACCCAGCAAAGTGCGGTATCGTTAAATTTTATATGTATTTAAGTAATTACTTGTTCTTAGTTATTAAGCATACAACATGTTAGATTCTGGCCAGATATAAGTTATTATGTGAATTTTTATATTTTATCTCAATAGTGAAGTAGTTTTTAAAGTATAAAATCAAACCGGCGGTTTTTCCTTCACAAATAGGTACCTTATTACTTTATACAGTCCACTAAATTTAAGAGAAAAAGGTGTCAGGTAAAATAGATTTTTACCATACCGCGTCTAGAACTATGCGCGGCGGTTCTACTGAGTGAGATGTTAAGTGAGATACTCGAAGAGTTCAGACACCTTCAGCTATGTATTGGAGAGGAAGACATAGTACTTTGGACCGACTCAACTGTAGTTTTATCGTGGATAAAAACTGACTTACCACTCAAATCATATGTGTCTAATCGAGTAATGCAAGTTCGAGAAGTATCGCAGTCAAGTCAATGGAACCATGTACCAACACAAGATAACCCAGCAGATTTGATTTCAAGAGGTGTCGCAGCAGATGAGATGGAAGACAGTTCTTTGTGGTGGCATGGGCCAAGTTGGATCCAGTCGTCACAGGATTCATGGCCGTCCCAAGAGATTAACAACTCTGAAATACCAGAAGTCCGTGCGGTGAAGTTAGTGTTGATCGCACAACCTCAGTTACCTTGTTTGTTGGACAAGTGTTCACAATGGACAAATCTCATTCGAGTAACGGCGTGGCTCCTGCGATTCAAAAACAACTGCATTAGTAAACTACAACGCACAACAGGACATTTAACGGTAGACGAATTGCATTCGGCAGAACGAATGTGGCTGCATCAAGCTCAGTCTAGTGCATTCGGTCGTGAGCAGCTAGATTTACAAAGAAAAAATGCTATTCATAGCAAGAGTAGACTCCGGTGCCTCAATCCATTCATTGATGACCACGGGTTGATTCGAGTTGGCGGGAGGTTGAGTAACATAGCAGCATCAGATTCCAGAAAATTTCCTATTGTTCTTCCTTCCACACACAAGGTAACCGGACTTATTTTTGAGCGCGAACATCGACGATTGCTCCATGTTGGACCACAAGCGTTATTAGCAAATGTACAACTTAAATACTGGCCATTACGAGGACGTAATAGTGCGCGCTCTACGGTGCACAAATGTGTAACATGTTTTCGGGCATCACCAAAGATATCAGTACCATTTATGGCAGCTTTATCTAGAGCGCGTGTCATCATTACGCGTCCATTTTCCCGCTGTGGAATTGATTTCTGTGGTCCCATCGGAATCAGAAGTGGCATCCGAAGAGTATCATCTGTCAAAGCGTACATTGCAGTCTTTGTGTGTTTGACCACACGAGCAATTCATCTGGAATTAGTGAGCAACCTCAGCACAGAAGCTTTCATGGCGTCACTGGATCGGTTCATATCAAGAAGAGGAAAATGCAGTGATATTTATAGTGACAATGGTACAAACCTTGTAGGAGCTCAGAAGGTTCTGAAAACTTTCCTAGGTGATAAAGCTGTGCCAGATCAACTGGCAAATAAAGAAATTAATTGGCATTTTATACCTCCAGCAGCTCCACACTTTGGCGGCCTGTGGGAAGCCGCTGTAAAGTCCGCCAAAACCCATTTGACGAAGCTCGCGGCCAATGCGTTATTAACCTTTGAGGAGGCTTCAACGTTGCTGTGCCGAATTGAGGCAGTGTTGAATTAAGGCCGTTAACAGCATTATCGACAGAGCCGTCAGATTTTTCCACGTTAACGCCAGTACACTTTCTTGTAGGAAGGCCACTCACTGGATCCCCTGAGCCTGAGGAACCGCAACCTCATAGAAATTTATCCAAACGATGGAATATCGTCAAAGGAATGGCGCAACTATTTTGGAAAAGGTGGAGCCTAGAATATTTGCCGCAGTTACATCGCCGAAGCAAGTGGGTGACACCTAGTCGTCCAGTCACTGTTGGGGAGCTAGGTCTCCTGAAAGAAGAAAACTTGGCAACAATGAAGTGGAAGTTGACCCGGGTAGAGGCAGTCCATCCAGGAGCGGACAATGTGGTGCGCGTCATAACTCTCCGCACAAGCGATGGCACATTGTTAAAGCGCCCAGTGGCAAAATTTGCTGTTCTGCCAAAGGAAACGGAAGAAGAGGCCAATGGTCTTTAATTAGCCATGTCCATTGTTTGTTGTTTTATTGTAAAATATTGGTGTACATATTACATTCATAAATGGTTGAAGGCCAGAGCCTTCAACTCGGGGGAGAAAATGTTGCGGCCTAGTTGACAAAAACGTTATCAGAGGGTCGGCCAAGCACGGCCACTGATAACGCTACTACATGATGTTGTCAACTCGTTCATGGTGCGGTTTACATAGTTTTAAGGTTATCGGCCTGTCGGTCGTATCCGGTTCGCGTGCGGTACACATGTAAAAACAAGAGTAAAATTTCGAGCTTTTTTCTAATATTGTGGCCGTCAAGACAAATTTCCATATTCATTAGCTTAGTGGTTTAGTGTTGTCAACCAGACAAAATCCAGTCGTCAAGACGCGTTGTTCTAGTTAATAGTTTTAGTGTGCCATCAAGGTAACGCAGCTTAGTGTTTTAGTATTGTCAACCAGACAAAATCCAGTCGTCAAGACGCGTTGTTCTAGTTAATAGTTTTAGTGTGCCATCGAGGCAAGGTCATTCTCGAGACATTCGTATTTAACCGAGTTTTTGTGTATTTTTCTTTGAGAAAAATTGCCGTCTTCAAAGATCAAATTGTTTTGTTTTTAGTGATCGAACTTGTGTCAAGTAGCTCATCACAACACAACGGATCATAACCAGCTACAACAACCCAGCAACGTGCGGTATCGTTAAATTTTATATGTATTTAAGTAAATACTTGTTCTTAGTCATTAAGCATACAACATGTTAGATTCTGGCCAGATATAAGTTATTATGTGAATTTTTATATTTCATCTCAATAGTGAAGTAGTTTTTAAAGTATAAAATCAAACCGGCTGTTTTTCCTTCACAAATAGGTACCTTATTACTTTATACAGTCCACTAAATTTAAGAGAAAAAGGTGTCAGGTAAAATAGATTTTTAATAATTTGTTTATACAGTTAACGGAAACCCAACCCAAAAATTATAAAGTTTTAGTATTTTCATTATGTACAATAATTTGATTTTAAATTTACATGTTTACTGCTATTGATAATGATAATTTTTACCAAAAAAGTCTATTGGTTTATTTTGAAATAGTGTCACTTAAATTGCAAACCGCCAAAATAATATGGACAAAATTTCATGAAAATGGCAAAAACTTTGCCATTGGAAAATTTGTTTGAATTTTACTTAGAGTGTTTTCGTTTTAAGAAAAGCTAGATTGTAATAAGCAATGTGTACTTAAGATTCTATGTAGAGCTTAAGAGGTTCTTAATTTCATTGATGCGATATTTCCTTTCATGGTTTTTGGTTTTCTTCAAATACACAGACTATTGGACTTCATTAGAAATTAGCATACCAACAGAGTGTTTGAAAATTTCACGAAGCTTACAAACTCGAAATGTTACTTGAATTGGTATTAATGTTTAAATATTATTTTTACATTATAAAAAGTGACTAGTTACAAAACAAAGTCACTGGTTTTGTTTACGGGTTTGAACCGTGGACTGATCTGCTGGGATTCGGTAATAATACAATAAATAGAAACGAAATATAAGAGCAAAATAGTATATTAATCAATCAAATTTACATTTGTATGTGAATATGTGAAATATTACATACAAGCAGTAATTCGAGAGCAGTTAATGTTATAATCAAACTATGAACGAAAAAAACTTCGATAGATGATATTTTCAACTGTTTCCGCTTTGAATTTCCCATCTGAAATTATAAAATATTAATTATTATACATTTTATAAGCAAACAAATCAGGCCAATTGAGTTGAGAATAACAATGTTACATTAAAAAAACGTCTTTGTTTCAAATAATCGTACGAGTAGAATAATGTAATATCACGTATCTCACGTTTTGCTAATTCTTTTTTTGTACATCAAAGAAGGTTTTTTAATTTTTTAGTTATTTTTCAAGTTTTAATATTTAGTTTAAAAAAAAAAAAATTTACATCTATACAAATGACAAATTTTTTTATCATAATGTTTTTGCAATAGTTTTTGAACATTTTACTCGACACATTTATTGAATATTATTCTATTGTTTTATTACATTTCCATGGCATTAAAAAATCGTCAATTGTAGGTGCTCCTATGGTTACTTGCGGCGCTTTATGTGCTAATGTTATGCATATTGCTATGATATCTGGATAACTTTTCAAATCACCGGTGGTGCGTCGTACCTCTCTTTTTACTATTTTCTATTATTATAAAAGTAATAATTAGAAATTAAATAGTGTATTACAAGTTACAAATAAAACTGATTCCTCTTTAGCGTAATAAAAACTGCTATCTACAAGACACAAAATAGGCCATGAGGTTTTTATATGCAAAAGAACATCAATTTTACAGTAGTTAATGTATTGATTTCATATTATGTAGAACATGGGAGAAGATATTATATTTAAATTCTCTCTAACTGTATCAATAATTGGAAAAATTCGTTCGAAAATAGTTTTTCTATTAAATATTTTTTTAATGTAAAGAATAAGTGGAAAAATCATTTACTATAAAAATCCTACCGTTTTACTATTGGGAAGTACGTACATATATTTTTGGTTAAAGAGAAAGACAATATCTATCGAATCCAGAAAAGAAAAAAATGGCAGATGTCTAACTTTTTTGAAAGTTTGAATATTTTGAATATCTCACAAAACCAACCTAATAATCCTTTTATCTGAAATATAGTATTATGGTTGTTATTTACCTTTAATTCTGGTTCTTTTGTAGCAGCAAACGCTAGGGCATAGCATATAGCATGATCTTTATGATACCTACGGTCTGAAAGTTCAAAATATTATACATTTTTAAAAAAAATGAATCAGGTCAAATGAGTTGAGAATAACTATGCGGTATACTAGTAAAATAATAGTAGTTTTTAGAATAGTAATGTAATAATAATATGGTCTCAATTTTCTCAATTTTTTTATTAGGTTTTATTTGTTACTAACTCTTAGTTTAAAAAAATACTTTTTTTTAGTTATTACATTTGATTGTTAATGATGATGTCTCTTCAATGGTTTTTGACCATTTTACTCAACATATTTATTGAATATTTTTATAAATCGTTTAATTACTTGATTGTGATTCTAGGCTTTCAAATATATCCATATTGGCTTCTGGTATGTCAGCATCCTTAGCTATTTTGGCACATATAGCTTTTATTCTTTCAAATTTTACGACGCGATCTTGCCCCATAATTTGCTGGACTCTGTCTCTAACAAAGCTCTATAATTTTCAGAATAAGAATTTAATTTTAAAATGTATTTTATAATTAACAAAAAAACTAATCCTTATTTAGCGAACCAAAACGCCAAACTATGAACAAACGTTTGGAGAAACCCCCCTCCCCGCGGAACTTTTTGAAGCGTACCCAGCTTGTATGTTACGATAAAAATAATGTTCTTAAATTGTTTTGGTATTTTTTCAAATATTCAGCCAAAAAAAAACATGAGAAAAAAAATCATAAAACATTTTTAATCATCTTTTTATATTAACAGACATGCAGCATAAGTTTTATTTTTAGAATTTGTTTTAAATTTTAATTCTTCATTTCTGTTTAAAATATGGAAGAAATCTTTTTGTAAGCTTATATTTATTTATTTTTTATGTAAGAAACCAGTAACAAAATCATTTTATGGTTTGAGAGAAAAACATTATCATTCGAGAAACTGAAAGTTTTTATACTAATAATAAAAACCAATACTTTTTAGAGTTATAAGTGTTAAACCTATATTAAATGGAAGAATTAAAAGTTTGAATATTTTGAATATCTTAACACAAACAAACTAACGAGCTTTTAATCTGTAATATAGTTTTATAGTTTTTATTTACAATTAAACTTGGATTTGTGTTAGCTGTATACGACAGAATGGCGATTACAGCTTGGTCATTTGTGTATCGAAAAGCTGAAAATACATAATAATATTTATTAATAAAATAACCAAATTTAACAGCAAGGGAATCGAGAATATTATCGTGTTACAATAAATTGCAAAACATTTGTTTTTTATGTTATTGTAATTTAAGAATAATAAAGTCATCACATTATAATATATTCATAGTGATATTGGTTAATGAACTTATCACATAATAATTATCACATTTTATCATTTGTTTTGTACATCATCAAAATGTACCCGTTTTTTAAACTTTTTATTTGGTTTAAGAGTGATGATTTTTTGGATAAAATTTTTTTTTAATTTTCAACTATATAAATAACAAAATTGATTATTAAATGGTTTTGTTAACATTTTTCTAATATCTATTACCGGAATCCATATTTTTTTCTTCATAATTTTTGTCGATTGTATGTCCTATTTCGTTTATTACATTTTTTAATTGAGTAAAGTCCATTTTGCCATCATCCCCCACTTTTGACGCGATTTTTTCTTGAATCATAGTCTGTAATTTTCAGAATAAGTGTAAAAGTATGTTTAGTATAAGTGAAAAATATTTTTTTAAGCGTAACTGGCGATTGTAAGAACATTAAATACATTTTTTAAACAATATATTTCTTCTCCAGTGGAACAATGGTGTAAGTGCAAATTTTTTATTTT